AATAAGCACGACGAGATTCATCTCCTCCTTACTAAGTAACAGCTAACTTTGTTTGTTACCACCCACACCTTGTTATCAACAGAGACCCAGGACGCTCAGATAAACATATTACAGGATATCAACCCACACAAGCCATTCGCGCCAGTTGGCTGAGTGGCTTGGAGTCAATTTCTACTCGAGGTCCTGCATCAAGGTACATGTCCGCGAAGCTCTACGAACATGATGGAGCCTGTGAGCTACTGTGGTGCCGAAGTCATGACGGATATCCGCTGCACACTCTCGGTGTGCCTTACAGAGCCCCATTGAGCTCAGGCGTCCGTCTATTATAGTCAGTAAAGACCCACAGTCGGCGGAGGAACTGTCTGCCAACGGGCGACTTCGATGCACCCAGTGTCGACTGGAACCTACTTCACTGCGATGTTTACTAAGCGTCGCGACGCTATGCATGAATACAGCCTAATCAAGCACATCTCAGCACCAACCCGGCTGATGCCGGACCAAAGGCCAATCATACTGAAACTCATCTTCACACCAGCGCCTTCGGATATTCATGCAATGAATATTCTCCAACCACGCGGCCGAAGTGAGCAATCTCGTTTTTTCGGCATAACGCCTTGCCATACATGATCAGGGGACACACCGTCACAACTACTGGTGTGTTGTTCCATTCAGCGTACAAGCGGTGGCAAACACAACAGTACGGACCATTCCACCGTTCTTGAAAATTGATGACGCATCGAACTTAATACACTCGAAGATGATGTCGGACAAGGAAAAGGTATTCCTGTCATCAACGTCAGGCCGTTCCCCAAAGGCCCCGTGGACCGACCGAGAGGTGAGTTCCCCGATAAACTAAGGACGCAAAATGTGGGGCATGTTCAAGCCAACGCAGGTAACTGCAGTTTGCTCTAAGTACAAAGTAATCAGAAAACTGTGTACACTAAGCAACCGCCAGAACCGATCACAATACCACAACAGCCTAGTTATGGAATTCTGAACCTACCCGAAGAGACTGTTGTATTCCCTGAAGCGGTGCACGAAGGCTGTGATTGAGATCAGGACTCTATACTGCCAGTAGAAGAACTCAGTGCGGTACGAAGATGACGCGATGACTCAACGACTGGTTTCGCAGTACTCTTAGATGTACTCCGTGGAACCGTCACTATCTATGGACGAACTGACAAGCATTATTCTTCTCTCGAGCAAGTGGAAACCAAACCCGAAATAGTCAAGAGACTCCTCCTTGAACTAACCCTAACTCCGAACCGGGCCCTGACGGACTTCACCCGCTATTCCTCAAGTTGGTAGCAGAATAATTTGCAGATCCAACGCATCGAGTGTTCAGGAGTTCTGTTGCAGTCGGGCGCCTTCCACCTTTCTGGGCAGGAGGGACTGCAGGCCCAACTACAAACGAGGGAACCGGCACCATCCTGCCAGCTATCGACTGATTTGCCTGACGTCTGTGATCTGCAAGCTCATAGAACGGGTCGTCAATCGCACCCTTCACTCCCACTGCGATAGCATGTGCGTCGTCTCCCTCGCTCAGCATGGGTTCCGCAGGCCTTGTTCCTGCATCTCTAACCTGCTTATTTCCAGAGATGCATGGACCAACGTAGTAGCTGGCTGGAGACACCTAATGTTATCTACACTGGCTTCAGCAAGACCTTTGGCACAGTACCACACAAATAATTTCTGCTCAAAAGCCCTGGAAATGGCATCACCGGAAACGTCCTTGCATGGGTTGAGGACTATTTGAGAGATCGGACTCGACAAGTGAAGTTGAACTAAATGCTCTCTGGCTGTGTCCATGCCTAGCGGAGTCCCAAAAGCCTCTGTCTTTCGGCTGGAACTTTTCAAGCTCTACGTTACTGACCTTCCTGCAACTCTTCAAGCCAGCTGCATAGTCTATGCCAATTATCTCAAGATATGTTCAGAAGTACCTAGCTTTGAGGACGCGGATAGACTACTAACGGCGCTGGACCAGCTGCACGATTGGTCAATCAAGTAGCACCAACCCGTTAACTAAGATAAAGGTGCTGGTCTTCCGATTGGTAACCCAGGTTCATTCGGTGTATACCATATTGGTGTGTATCTTCTCAAGCTTGTTCTGCACGAGAAGGAGCTAGGAGGTATCTTGTCACTTGACCATGAAACTTACAAAGTGACCCTGAGAAAGGCCGCGGCCGTCAACAGGATGCCGGGTGCTCTTCTCGGTTTCAAATCGCCCCCGCAAACTCCATCCTGCTTTAATGACGCATTGAAGACGGAACACACATGGTAATTTCCTACCGTTCTTGTCCAAATTATACTTGAACATGAACTTGACACTGGAAGTACCCTCACACCAACTTGCCGATCGACCCACCATGTACATGGAAGGTAATGCACCTTCTCCCTTGGACCTAGTTTACGCAAAGTCCGTTGAGTTTGTGCGTGTCCTTTAGTATGGATACCCTTTGGGAGCCAGTAACCATAGGTGTTTGTCAATCACTTGTGCACGCATTAGAGACTAAAATGCACGCAGGATCCAATCTCCGACTTTCAGTCTCTACGCACCAAGGCAGTAAGATTCCCATGCATCATCTTGTCGGATGATGAGATACAGGCGGCCTGGGAAGCGCTTAAGTCTTCCCGCCGAAATATTCCTTTTTCGGTGAAGAAGATTACCAAAGCGAGAGACCCACGTTTGGATATAGTCGCACACCAGCTAATGAATAGACGGACAAGTCGCTGGCGGATCTACGGGACGGTTCGCCCGGAATGTACTTCTTGGCAGTATCCTGAAAAGCCTACGTCAAATAGCGAATAACGTTGGCTCTTCTATCCCAGTGTTATTAGGCAGTGAAGACGCCACTGCACATACTGATCACGAGAAAGCATCTACTTAGTGCACCATATGCCGGTATTTGTCCGGGATGAGCAGTTGCAGCACGTTGATCTATTTCTAAGAGTCCCACATGACTCCCTTGTAAAGGGGCCACAATTTCGGAGGCAAAATTTCTCAATTTTCATCAGGGGTTAAATCCTGCTAAATCCGCTGCATTGGCCGGTATCCATCCTAAGCATTTGTGTAAACTCACAAACTAGCTATGTGGCCAAGTGACGCGTTCATTTCAGTTGCCGCTTCTCAACGGCTCATTTCCCAAGGACTGGAAGAATGCTATCGTCTGCCGGATTTTTACAAAGTGCCATAAGCCTCTCCCTGCTAATGGTAGACCGGTAAGTTTGGCAAGCGTACTGGGCAACTTATTGGATAAGTTCGTCAGAGAATGCTTGAAAAACACCTACGGGAGTTCGGTCTCCACAGACCACTTCAACACGGCTTCCGCAAGAGGCACACCCGCATGACTAATTTGCTAGTTGCACGCGAATGCTGGTCGGATGCTTTGGACGCCGTTCCTGCAGTAGATGTATTGTTTATTGACTCCTCCTTGGCGTTCGATGTCATATCACAGTCTCACTTCTCGGTGCAGCTTCGTTCCTCGGGAGTATAAGGGCGTGCACTACAATGGATAACCACGTTTCTGGAAGAGAATGAGTTGTGGGTTCGTGTGCAGTGTAGTCTGTCTTTCGGTTATGCCGTCCTCAGTGGGGTCCCTCAGGGTTCCGTGCTTGACACATGGTTATCTTCTCTGCGTGTAAATGAGCTCCCCACACTGCTTGGACTACCATCTCGCATGTTTGTTGATGGTCTAATGGTTTGGCAAGCAGTGTCCAACCTTGATAGACCCCAGAATCCGCCAAAAGCCCTCGCTAAAATTTGGGACTGGGTTGTTATATGGCAGTTGCCTATATATTATGCAACGTGTTCCAGCTAACTATTAAGGTCCAATGGCCACTTAACGCGTTATCGGCCTGGCGGTAGTGAATTACACCAAGTTTCCTAACTGGTAGACCTAGGGTTCACGTTGTCTGCACAACTTGTATCCAGTAAAAACTGGGGAAAACTTCGTGCGAGTGTTGCTGAAGGTTGTGGAGGATCCGCAGGGCAGTCGGTACCGTTTCGGGCTATATGTTTATTAGGTTATTCTCCGCCTTTGTCGGGCCAGAATTAAAATACTGCATCCAGGCTTGTCCAAGTGGCATAGTCAGGGACAGGATGTCATGGGGAGTGTGGAGCGTTGGAAGCAAAATGGACCATGGACTATGGAACCGTTCTTACCCAGAAAGAATATTTGAGCTGGAAATGTTCTCGACGCATTATCGTCGCCATCGAGGTGTCCTGATCATAAACTATCGCATACCTACTGGTAAAACCGTATTCGATTTATCAGGGCTTTTGCAGTCCGCTTAGCTTTCATCTCTTCGGGGGCACCCGATGAAGTTAAACAAAACTCGATCGGATGGGGTCCTTGCAGACTTTCCTTTATCACGCCGAGTGTTGGGTTCCTGGAATGCATTGCCCAAAGACGTGGTATTGGCACTGACGGCGAAAGAGTTCGAATGCCGTCTTGGCGCTCTTGACTACCAATGGTTAACATTCCCTTTCCCAGCTTGGCATTTTGCCTTACTAAATCATTAAATCTATTACTTGTTGCTTCTTAAGGCTCTTAGTAATTTCGTACTTTTGTTTCTTATTTCAAGTGAACAGTACGGTGGGGACTGCCAATTCAGGTCGGATGGGTATTAATTGATTGTCCGTTGTATGATTTGCGCGCGCTTATCTGACGCTTCTGGATTCCAGTTAGTGCGGAAGAAAATACGCTGGATCAACGACTCTCCACGGAAGGAACATCCACGAAAATTTATACTACAGTTTCAGTCCCACTAGCAATAGAACTTTAACTTAGTGACAAAGAAAAACTACTAATGAAAATGTCCAAATGATTGACGATCAATTGGTGGGTGCTATCGTGTGCGTGAAAAGCATTGATTTTTCATTTCCAGAAGAATAAATATTTAAGAATGCAGGATTGTATATCAACGGAAAAAAGAACAAATGTTAGAAAGGTTACTCGTCTACTTTGTCAATTGCACTACCGAACTCCCGCCGGGCTTGCGTTTTCTCGACCTTGTGCAACCTAACGTTTAAGCGTTAGCCAGGTTCCCGGGCTCGGTTTTCGCGTACGTCGGCCGGGTCCAACGGTCTGTTTGGAACCTCGATGCTCTGTTGTCGGAGTGAGGAATATATAGAACAAAACAGAATTAATAAAGAAATTGAGAAACAGTTGAAGCGGGACAAAAAGGATGCTAGACGGGAGTTCAAGCTGCTATTATTGGGTATGATAACATATCAACCATTATTATTATTATGCTTTATAGCTCAAAAATCTCACATTTGTTCTTGCGTTATCACACACACCTTTATCTTCGTATTTTTATCCTATTTAACAGACTTGATTGCGTTCATGTGTCTCCAATCTTCTTGTAGTTCGAGAGAATTTGGCTAAATCCCTTGTTGGAACATTAGAACATTATATTTAAGGGGAATAAAAGCTCCATCCTTACATGACCCTTAGGGTAATGAGTTCAGTTCGGGTCTGTTGAAAGGCCAGGGTGTTACCCCTGGTCCACTAATGTAATGCTCACGTTCCTTACATTAGTTGTCCCTGTTATGCCAGTTACGCGAAGAGAGGAAGAAAAATCGAAGGTAAAGAGTAAGGGAAGTCAGTTAAGAGGATAAACCAATGGTGATGAAAAGTACAGAAAATGGTATCGAAGTATGAAGATAGGAATTAGTTAGGAAAAAGGAAAAGTTTCATGTTATCAATACTGTGAAGGGTGCTAAGCAAAATTGCGCGTGGAACCGTATCAAAGGCTTTGCTGAAATCCACAAATACCTCATCCAGCCGCTCAAGTACCTAGATTATCCACTTCACTGCCTGGGCCTCTACTCGCTTGAGTACCGACGTCTCCGGGACGACCTGATCTTTGTATTTATGATCTTATCCAAACCTGGACATCCCTGTCGCCACCTACTCACACTGCACAAATAATGGCCTCCCACAGGCTCACATATCAGCACAGTTGGCTGAACTGCAGACGACACTACTTCGCTTTGAGAATCTGCCGACTGCGAAATGCTCTGCCTACCAAATTAATATTCGGACCCACTGTGGCAGATTTTAAGACCCGCCTGGACTGTCATCAGAAGAGGCTACTTACGTTCGACCATCGGTGCCTTCGCAGTTTGGCTCACATCTGGTGGGAACACCGTGTGAGTAACGAGCGTGTTCGACGCCTTGTTTACGGCCTAGGAAAAGGGAATGAACCGCTCAGCACCGTCATTTCACTCACCAGGCTCCGATGGCTGGGCCATGTGTTGCGCATGCCAGCCCACCGACTCCCTCGACGTGCGTTGTTTGCTCACCGGGGATGTGGGTGGAAGAAGAGGAGAGGTGGCCAAGCGATGACTTGGTCCAGAGGAATGAAGGCCCTCACTTCGGAGCTGGCCTCAGTTGGAGCTTCACGGCTCCCTGGTTGGGGTCCAAAAGACGGTGAACACGTTTGGCTGGATACACTAGGCAAGCGAAGTCGAACCACGTCCACTACGCATACGGATCCATCTACACAGATCCTGCCCACTGATCCCACCACAAGATCTTATGCGGCAGTTGTGAGGGAAAGCGCGGTCTCTGTCCCTATTTGCAATAGCCCGACTACAGGTGGCGCCAAGTCCAGGCCTAAGCCCGTCGAGAAACCCAAACCTAAGCTATCATCTCAGTCTCAAATGAAGCTTGTTCTCGACAGACTATCTGAGCTTGAGAAAGCTGCCAAGGAAAATCCGCCCCGTAGCAAGCCACATGTTCCTGAACGTACCCAGCCATCTCGCGACCGTTGTCTTATCATCATGAACGCAGCGGAATCGGAAAAACCAACCCCTGCGGAACGAATACTAGATGACCAAACACTGCTTGAGCGATTGGTCTCATTGCTATTTGACAAAGGTGAACAGGGAATCAATATTGTATCTGCCTTCCGTCTTGGTAAAAAACAAGTGGATATCTCGAGAAATCGCCCCCTTAAAATCGTTTGCCGGGATGAGGAGGAATGCCGACGCATCCTGCGAAGGACCTCGCGTCTCAAAGGCGAGCCATTCTATGTACTTCGTGACCTCTCACCAGAAGATCGAGTCAAAATGAAAAAGGCCGTAGAAGAACTACGCACAAGACGGGGAAGTGGTGAAACAGACCTCCATATTGTGGATTTTCGAGTAGTTCGAAGGACTCCGAAAACACGTTGGAGGCCCATTCTCCTCACCCCCGGACAATAAACTATAAGGTCCCGCTGGAAACCACTGTTCCTCATCCCCGGGACTTAAAAACAAAGAGAAAGAATGGACTACAGGTATTGGTTGCAAATGTCCGTAGTCTCAGAAACAAATTTGACGAGGTACATGCTCTTACCGCAAAGCTACTTCCTGACCTGTTGGCCTTCACTGAGACTTGGCTCACTTCAGACATCTCCGACTCTGAGATCCACATCTCAGGATACCAACTTTTCCGTACTGACCGATCTGGATTTAGAGTTGGTGGTGGCGTAGTACTCTACTGGAGAGAGGATCTTAAAGTTCATCTCGTAGAAACCGTCAGTGACGCTGTTGGTGGCGCAGAGGTACTCTGGTGTAGGATCAACGATGGCTTCAAATCCCTTATGGTTGGCGTCATCTACAAAGCCCCGTGGGGACATGGTACTTCTGTACTAGACTTTATCCACTCGCATGGAAACCGCAGAGATTGTCTTATTGTGGGCGACTTCAATGCCCCGCATATCAATTGGGATCTACTACACTGCCACCTTTCCCCCGAGTCATTTGACACCAGCCTCCTTGAAACTGTCCTCAAAACGAATCTCACCCAGCATATAACATCGCCCACCAGGCTTCTTCCCGGCCAGACTCCGCACATTCTTGATCTTGTGCTCACTCCGTCCCTGGCAGATGTCTCAGAATTGACCCTTCTACCACCCATAGGCAAAAGCGACCATTGTACAATCTCCTTCCTATGGACTAAACGTCTAGCTATCCGAACCCGGAGCGCACACCGTCGCAACTTCTGGCGAACCGACGCATTCAAGCTAAGGGTGGCAGCAGGTACATTGGACTGGAATGTTCCACAACACTTAGATCTCGATGCTGCTTGGAACGATTTATCCCGCAAATTGAAGCTTCTCATCGAGGAGGCCGTCCCCTTCAAGAAGAACAGGCCTCTTTCTAAGGGTCCTCCCTGGATCGACCGAGAACTAAGGGCCAACATGAAACAACGACGAAAACTATGGGACAGATTCAAGCTTTCCCGCTCAGACTCAGACTACTCTAAATACAAAGCCATCAGGAACTTCTGCTCCCTGCAGAAACGTGAAAAGAGACAACGATACGAACATAGCCTGGCCGAACAATCTCTCTCTAGGCCAAAGATACTATTTTCTTACCTCAATAGATCCTCCAAGACGGGCTGTGGAATTCCTGCATTGTCTACCAATGAGCCAGATATGATACACTATGATGATGACGCCAAAGCTGACCTCTTGGCTCTACAGTTCTCCTCAGTATATACGAAGGGAGACAGACTCGCAAACCCTCATATAGTTGCGCATACAGTACCTCTGGAACATATCGACATCGATGCAGGTGCTATCTTGAAGCTACTACTAGAACTGAACTCCTCTTCCTCACCAGGCCCAGACGGGTTACATCCACACTTTCTCAAGATGGTTGCAGAATTCATTGCCGTCCCACTTTGTCAAATCTTTCAGCTCTCTCTTAAAGCTGGTCGACTACCTGTCGATTGGAAGACGGGTGTAGTTATGCCGAAATACAAAGGGGGAAGCCGCCAGGACCCTGCGAACTATCGGCCAATTTGCTTGACGTCGGTCGCCTGCAAGATCATGGAAAAGCTCATTAAATCTGCTCTCCACCGACACTGCGAAGATCTGAACTTCACCTCAGTCACTCAGCATGGCTTCCGAAAGGGGCACTCCTGCATCACTAACCTGTTGGTCGCTAGAGAGAAGTGGGCCAAATTAGTGGACGCTGGAAAACGTCTAGATGTGGTCTTCATCGACTTCAGCAAAGCTTTTGACAGAGTCCCACATCAGGAACTACTCTCTAAGCTCGGCGGAATTGGCGTGACAGGGAACCTCCTACTATGGATCAGTGACTTCTTGCAAGGCCGGAACATGCAAGTCAAAGTAAACGATACCCTCTCATTCCCCGTGCCCATGTATAGTGGCGTACCACAAGGCTCCGTTCTCGGACCGGAATTGTTCAAAATATATATCAATGATCTACCAAGTATTCTACAAACGGACTGTCTGATCTATGCAGACGATCTCAAGCTATGGTCGGAAGTGTCCAGCCTCGAAGATGCCGACCGACTGCAGGAAACGCTTGATCTACTACACTCCTGGCCTATCAAGTGGGGTTTGCCGGTCAACAAAGATAAATGCTCAGTCCTTTCTATAGGTGCTGCTGAACCACTGGGCATCTATCACATTGGCGGGCACCTACTCAAGATTGCCACACAGGAAAAGGACCTGGGGACAATAATCTCCTCTGATCTCAAAACGACCCTTGACACGTTAAAGAAAACTGCTGCGGCGAACAGGATGTGGGGCGCCATAAGGAGATCATTCTCTAAAATGACGCCGCAGATATTTAGACTTCTCTTCACCTCCCATATCCGTCCCATTCTTGAATTCGGACATCCGGCCATAGCCCCCTTATCTAAACATGAAAGTGACAAGATCGAAAAAATACAGCGACGAGCCTCGAAATTTGTCCTTGGGCTACGCAACCTCCCGTACCCCACCCGCCTACAGAGGATGAACCTTTTTCCCTTAGACTATCGCCGACGTCGCGGAGACCTCATCTATACCAGGCGCATCCTACGAGGAGAACTGGGAAACGAGCTAAGGCAGTTCTTTCAGCTAAGACTTGGCAGCTCGACTCGAGGTCACAGCTGGAAGCTTTTTAAACCGAGGAGGCTCAAAGTCCGCTCAGATGTCGCTCTCTCTACTCGAGTGACTAATGATTGGAACCGACTGCCGGACCCGATTGTCAATGCGCAATCAGAAGCGAGTTTCAAACGTTTGCTAGACATCTTCCTACTGAGTACTCCAGGATCCTGCAGGGCTGGTATTACATCCTGAGCCATGACAGCCAACTCGCTTGCAATCCTTGGAAGATCGGGAAGCGAAGGAGCTGACACGGGACCCCCTTCTGCTCTCTACCACTCAATGAACTCAATGAATGAACCTAACGTTTAAGCGTTAGCCAGGTT